CATAAATAATGACCGGTCCCTTATAAAAAACAGAAAACGGAGATGAACAACATTTTCTTTGAATACTTTTGCCCTGGCTCGGACAGGTTTAAAAGACAATGTCAATGAAACCATTTTGAATCTCAATATAGCTACTTGAATGCCAAACATATTACATAGATAAGAAAGTAAAACAAAGAAAGGAAGGAAAACGCAAAAAAACTGTATTCGTGACTTTACGAAATTCAAATATTGTTAACGTCTGCGTCAGCTATCTATTTCAATCTAGCACTATCCATGACGTCAGGTCTTCGAAAATAGTTTCCGACATTTCGTAGTCGTAGAGGAAACCGAAATATTCGACAAAGCCGGTACGTTCGAAATTCCGGCAGAATTCAGTACGTACACACTCAGTGGCAGAACGTACACACTCAGTGGGAACCTCCTACCCTCCGACGAAACTTTCAAATTTCCGACAAACGCTCCATTTGCACTTGAAAAGGCTGTTTTTAGGCCTCTTTTAGGTCAAAATTTCAGAAAATTCGTCAATTTCCGCCACTGTGAACACTACGCCGTTACAGTTTGCCGGTTTACAAGTTAAATTGGCACACATGATGTAAACCCCAAATATCTCAAAATACAACAAAGAAATTTAAACGAAAAGCATTCAAATTTATTGTTTTGAGACCTAAAATGCTCGGTTTGCAATTATAACAGCTAAATTGATATGCGCATTACAAGATAGGTATTATTTTACAAGAATGATTAAAATAATTTCATGCGATTACCTAATATAAAAATACATTTAATATATAAAAATACAATGTGTACGCTTATACGAGTTAATTCCACCACTACCCTGATAATGTTTCGTTATATTTGTTAATGGCATAGCTATAATACTAAACTACTTTTAAAACGTTCAGTTTTCTCCATAAAATTATAATACATTTGACTGTTCATTCTCGTGTCTCTTTTCTTGATTTCGTGAACTTTCTTAGGTTCCGTTCTGCCGTTTCTCCAAACTTTCTAATTTTGCTATACTTAACGCTTTATTATAATCATATTCTTTATAGATTATTTTAAGTGCTCGTTTTTGTATTCGTTCGATTTCATTACTTTGCTCTTTCGTAATTCCTCCAATCCATACCTCGTGGGCCCCGTATTCAAGCGTTGGACTAATTACTGTTATATAAAACTCTTTCATATCGCCCGAACTTAATTGCACCATAGAATTTTAATACTTTGAGGAGGAATTGACGTTTCGCAGCTTTTTTGATTATCTTCTTCGTATTTGTATTCCACTTCACATTATCGTTCATCCAGAGTCTCGTTACTGGTATAGTCGTTTTATTTCTTCTTTTAAATGATCAACATTTCTTGGCATTTCTTGAGGTTAAGTTCCATTTTCTGTTGTTTCGTAAAGTTCATGACTTTCGTCATATTTCTTTCAGCATTCCCAATGGCGTTGCCTGGTACATGATTTTTGAGATCGATAATTTCAGAATCTTCTTCATCAATCAGAATCAGAATCTTCGCTAACTTCAGACACGTCACCATTATTTATTTCCGGTTGTTTCAATACTAAGGACAGACCATTTGTATGAACAATAAATGCAACCGGCCCTATTCTGCTACCTTGGGGTACTCCCCCATGGACGGAAAATCTATCAGATAATTCAGATCCAAATTTAGTAGCCTGGATTCTGTTACTCAGATAGGAAGCGAGCCATGTGACCAATGCAGGACGAATGCCAATTTTACAACAATTATCCAATGTTATGATCAATAAGTTAACTCAGCCAGTTAACTACGTATAACTCTTGAAGCTTTGATATAATACTAGTAAGTGCAACAGGACGTAGTTCATCAACACTTATGCAAGGTATACATTTTGGGATGGATGAAACCCAAAATTCTTTCCAGATTATGGAGAAACGTTTTAATTTAAAAAATTCGTTTAAAATCTCAGCATATATCTTTAAAATTTTTATATTTGGATCATTTAAGCTAAGTGCTTTGTTAATTTTTAACTTTCTTAGTTTGTTCGCCACGGCCGGGACGGATCCTTTAAGACTGTGGGTAAATGTTCCATTTCCGGCATTTCGCCATACGCCAGCCATTATCATGGACAACTGGAAAATCCTTAGTCAAACTTGCAAAGAAACTGTTGATATAATTTGCAGTGTCTTTATCATTCATTACGGATTGAGACTCAGGATTGGTGAAGAAAATATTAGATGAACTGCAATCATAAAGACTGTATCACAACTTTCTGTAGTTAAAATGTCATAACAGGACTGAAAATAGTCATAAAAAAGTCCAAATCATTGTGTGATATAGAGGGTGGAAGGTAAACGCAAGCCAAAGCGATTCTTGAAATTTTTCTTGGCAGCCATGTTGGTCTTAGTGTCACCCATAAACATTCAACAAGTTTATTACCAAGGTCCAATCTAACTTTAACGGAACAATCATCC